TCTGTGACGTAAGGCCAACTTCCTACCAATCCTTCCAAAGAGTACCGAAAGATTTTTCAAGAAAATTGGCTAAATATGGAACTTTAAGCCTCAGCACAAACTCAAATCCACACAGTATTTTTATCTTCTTGGAAAGGATATCAATTAAAAAAGCGAAAGTATGGTAATAAAAGATGGATGTTAAGTGTAATTATCACGAGAGGGGAAATGCTACCAAGGGAACAATAACGTGTTTCCTTTCAACTACAAGTTTTATTTGCCTTGAATAGAGCTACCCTGCACGTTAACAAGCAAAAATACACCGTGCCCTCCGCACGGACGGCAGCTCAGCGCGCCCGGGCCTTCCTGGCAGCACAGGCTTCTGGTCGCGCTCTGCTGTCTCCCTGCGGTCCTGAGCAGTCAACTCAACCTCCTCTGTGCAGCAATTACTCCAAAACCCTCTTAACAGGCTTTGCACAAATAATCCGCATTTTTCTGATTTGATTTACACGCATCCAATGGGAATTCCCTATCGACCCGCCTTCTCTCTCCGGATGGGCCACTCACCACAAAGGTTACAACTAAGTAACGGCATTCTTCTTTTTTTCTCTTTTTAAGAATACTTTCTAAGAGCCTGAGTATGAGCTACCAGAAGGCAACTTAAAATCGGGGCTCTTGAAGGAAGCATTATTTAAAGCAAACAAAACGGGGATTAACTATTCCGAAGGAGCAGGCTTCTTGTTACAAATGCTAACTGCCAGCCACGATATACGGAGGCATTCGCTTCCCGTGACCCTTAAACCAACCGCTCGAAGCCACACGCCGTTCCCTCTGGCCCAACCCACTCCCGCCCAACATCTCAGGGCAACGCGCTTTCCCTCCCGCCGACTTCGCCTCTCCCCGGGGCCTTCCCTCCGCTGCGTTCAGTCGCCCCCGGTCCCGGCAGCCTTAGTCCGACCCGCCCTCCTTCCTGGCCACCGCGAGCCTCCAGCGTGTCCTCTCAGGCTCCAACCTGCCGCCGAGAACCCTCCCGACGCCGATCCTCCCGGCTCGCTCGACTCGGGCCTCAAGCCCTCCCGGCCCCCACGCAACGGCCGCACTTGAAAATGGCGGAAAGCGTCGCCCGCCCCGGCGAGTGTCCGGGCCGCACTCACCTCGGCGCGGAGCACAGCTCCTAGTGAAGGGCGAGCGCAGCGCTCGTGTTCACCGTTGGGAACGTCTCTCCTCTCGCCTCCTCCCTCCACCCCTCTCAATCCCTCTCCTCTATAGCAGCAGCCGCCATCTCCCCGGATTAACCACCGAGCGCACACCCCTGCGTCACCACGCACCGGTGTACGGCTCTACGTCACGAGCGCCGGGACCGCAGGGGTCCGCAGGGTTCGAACTGCGCATGTGCAGAGGCGAGGGGCGGGGTCTGGCGACCCGCAGCCAACCCGGCGCTTCCTTTGTTCGGCGCCCGGGTTAGCTCCGCCGTGGGAGGAGTGGGGCGGGCATCTGGCTGTCTCACTCTCCTCAAGTTGTGAGCCGGAGTTGATGCTCCCAAAAATACTCCGTTTCCCAACATTTGGATAAGCATTTCGTCCTGTGTTAGGTCATGTGGCCAAGCATACTGGAGAGTCGAACTGTGGACAAGGCGCTTGACCTTGCAAAGCCTTTGTTCGCCGGGAAATGGGGCTCCTGGCTGAGCTCCTAAGTGCAAGCACCCAGCCGCAGGCGCGCGGTTCCCCTCTGCCGGTGGCCCGGCGCCCTCGGTCCCAGCACTCGGGAGAAGCTGGCTTGCGGGGCAGCCGCAGGCACCTGCACCCAAGGCGCACAGGAATGTTCGTAGCAGCTTTCCTCCTCCACCAAACAGCACCACCCGCATTTCCATCAGCAGTGGAACGGTGCATGCATCGTGGTGTGGTTCTGTAATGACCTGCAGCCATGGAAAATAACCAGCGAGGCCCTCGCCGGTGTGGCGCAGTGGCTAGAGCGTCAGCCCGCAGACTGAAGGGTCCCAGGTTTGATTCCGTCCAGGGCACGCACCCTGGTTGCAGGCTTCTCCCGGCCGGGGCTTGCGGGAGGCAGCCAATGGATGTGGTTCTCTCACCCTGACGTTTCTCTCTTTTCCTCTCTCTTCCACTTTCTCTAAAAGATCAATGGAAAAATATTCTCAGGTGAGGATTAACAAAAATAACTAAATAAATAAAACGCTCCAGTGGGTTTGGCTCAGTGGATAGAGCATCGGCCTGCGGACTGAAGGGTCCCAGGTTCTATTCAGGTCAAGGGCTTGTACCTTGGTTGCTGGGGCATCCCCAGTAGGGGGTGTGCAGGAGGCAGCTGATGATGTTTCTAACTCTCTATCCCGCTCCTTTCCTCTCCGTAAAAAAATCAATAAAATATATATTTTTTTAAAAACATTCAAACCTATAAAGAATTTTTTTTAAAAAGAAAGAAAATAATTACTAATACAACAAACTGAATGAATATCACAGATACTGTTTAATCAGGCACAAAAGAGGACGCTGCATTATTCCATTTATATATGAAGTTCAGAATACAACATCAAAACAAGCAACTTGTATTCTTTTGGAAAGGAAATTGGAAATATGAACCAAGAATCTTTAACCGCTATACTGTACACCAGAAACTAATATAAAATAATGTTGAATGTAAACTGTACTTGAAAAATAAAAATAAAAATGTTTAAAGGAATCTTTAGCCCTAGCTGGTTTGGATCAGTGGATAGAAGATCGGCCTACAGACTGAAGGGTCCCAGGTTCGATTCCAGTCAAGGGCATATGACTGGGCTGCGGGCTCAATCCCCAGTAGGAGGGGGCAGGCAGCAGGCAGCCAATGATTCCCGTTCATCATTGATGTTTCTATCTCTCCCTCTCTCGCCCTCTCCCTTCCTCTCTGAAATCAATAAAAAAATATTTTAAAAAAAGAATCTGCCGAAACCGGTTTGACTCAATGGATAGAGCGTCGGCCTGCGGACTGAAGGGTCCCGGGTTCGAGTCCGGTCAAGGGCATGTACCTGGGTTGCGGACACATCCCCAATGGGAGATGTGCAGGAGGCAGCTGATCGATGTTTCTCTCTCGTCGATGTTTCTAACTCTCTATCTCTAGCCCTTCCTCTCTGTAAAAAAATCAATCAAATATATTTTTAAAAATTTTTTAAAAGTAAATTAAATTTAAAAAAATCTTTAAAATATGTGTTACTTTTGACCTTAATCCTTCTAAAAATCTATAGTTGGAGAAATGTGAAAAAGATTTGTAGACAAACCTCTCACTGAGGTAGTATTGATGACAGCAAGCAAAAAAAACAATGAAAACAACTTAAATGGCCAACACCAGAGAATGATTAACAGCACATCATACAACAGAATACTATGCAAACAGTACAGAGTATATACTACAAAATTTTTATGATGACATCACAAGTGCTTATAATCTAATTTTAGTGGGGCATGAATACGAGCAACTGTAAGGATTTACACGTAATAAGGAATAGCTAAATGGTAGTATTTTTTAAAAAATATATTTTATTGATTTTTTACAGAGAGGAAGGGAGAGAGACAGACAGTTAGAAACATCGATGAGAGAGAAACATCGACCAGCTGCCTCCTGCACATCTCCTACTGGGGTTGTGCCCGCAACCAGGTTCATGCCCTTGACCGGAATTGAACCTGGGACCTTTCAGTCCGCAGGCCGACGCTCTATCCAGTGAGCCAAACTGGTTTCGGCTAAATGGTAGTATTAAGGATGTCTGTTTACTTCAAATGTGTTTTGCTTTTGTAAGGGCTAAGGAAGAAAAGATGTTGTTGGATTTTTTTAACAACATAACAAGTGCTGACATTGTATGTTGTTATGTATTATTAATTGCATTTTTATTTGTTACCACTTACAACATCCAATTTTCTGACCATTGTTTAACATTACACATCACTTAGGGAATCTTTCCATTTTTTTCATTAGTTTATATTAGACTTGGAAACCACTAGAGGCTTGATGCATGAAATTCATGCAAGAGTAGGCCTTCCTTCTCCTGGCTACCAGCATGAGCTTCCCTCTGGCACCCAGGGACCTGGGCTTCCCTCCCAGCACTGGTCTAATTAGCATATTACACTTTTATTATAAAATTTAACTGAATAAACTTTAAAGTCCTCATTGGCTTTACTCAATGATTCATGAATTTGGCAGCATCTAATCTAGTAGACAGAAAGGAGCTTCAAGGAGCTGTACAAAAATGAAAGACTTATATAGGGAGAGTAGGAACAATAAATTACACCAGGCAGAAAAGCAGGTTGGTTATGGCAAGGTGGCTTTCCTTAGGGGATAGTAAGAGGTCTATCAGGCAGATTACCAAACTAATGCCTGACTCACTGAGGTAAGAGTTCACTTCTAGAAGAGCCAAAACTGTAATTAAGTCTTCATTTGGTGACATAGGTCTTAGCATAAGTGACTCCATTTTGAGCCTGTTGTCTTGTTTTGAACAATAGGATGTGTGAGTGAGTATATATCCTCAAAGAATATGATGGAGGTGGGAGTGGGAGAAGCAGGATCAGGTGGTATGGAAGAACCCATTACTCAGTCAACAAACCACTTATTCATACAACAAATAGTTACTGCCCTTCATTTTCTCTAACTTCTGGGCACAGAATTAGCCAGATCTCAAGGAGTTCCTTGTAGTACCAGAGACAACTCTAGTTCCATGTTGTAAATGTAGGCTAGGATGCCAGGAACCCTGAAGAAAAGACAGAATAGCAGGCAAGATTTCCATGGGCTTAGGAGAGGAGTGTGGCCAGAAAGGTGATCCTAAGGAGTACACCCTTAAGTTGGGTTCTAAAGGTAAGTAGAAAAGTGACAAACAGTAAGTCCATTCCTACATATAGCTATAAGGGGTAAGGAAGACAGCCAAGCATATCAAAGTGTCCTAATCCTTCAGAATCCTTAAAATGTGCTGAACTGCAGGGTCACTCAATAAAGCCATCATGAAATGCCATCATAAAAATATGCTGGATGCACCTCTCAAAATCACCAATTTAATCATAGGCTATTCACACCTCTAATCACACAGGTCCTTCTGGGAAATGTTTTATTTTTTTTAATATATTTTATTGATTTTTTACAAAGAGGAAGGGAGAGGGATAGAGAGTTAGAAACATCAATGAG